GAGGGAGGGCGAGAGCGCACCGACACGATTCTAAGGTTAGAGGGGCGCCTCTTCCTCCGCGAAGGAATGCGCACGACCCGCGCCGCGAGAGGGGAGAGGGACGGGCGGGCGCTACTCGCGATGCGCGATCAATTCTCGCGAATTTTATTTCACCGCCGCCGCCGCCGCCGTCGTTGCCGCGTACTCGGCGCGGCGGCGATGGTGGTGGTGGTGGTGGTGAAGTGGTGGTGGTGGAGGAAGCGGTGGTGGAGGAAGTGGGTAGTGATGGTCGTGGTGGTGGCGACTGCTGCTGCTGTTGCCGATGCAGCTCGCATTCATAGTGCGTTCGACGTAACTCCGCGCTGCGTTTACAGAGAGCGACGCGCGCGTCAGCGTCCGCGGCGGGCGAGAGATTTGTCAAATCCCATCGATCGCGCAGCGGCGACGAATGAACGACACGTGCCGCACCGACTGAGTGATCTCGCACCTTGGTCGGGGGTTTTTTTCCCCTCTTTTTTCCGAGGGGCATGAAGATTGTAGACGGGGGGGGGGGGGGCAAGACGGATGTTACTCGTTTTCGGAGCTTCTTTTTGCGTGTCTAGCTTGCAACGGGAATATTGCGTGGGTGCGCAGTCAGTTCCGGGAGAATTTGTGGAAATGTGCGTATGGACGAACGATAAAGAAGCATCGATTGCTCTGAAGCTTACAATGCGTTCTCTGCAATATGTACACACTGTATTTGGTCCTCGCATCAGCGCGAACATAAATTAAAAAAGAGCGCTCTATTTCGAGAGGGAAACAGAAAACGGAGGTCGGTTGAGTGCGTGAACGATGAAACTTTTCGTGCTTGTGTCTCTTTGTGACGGTGTGCGAGTAAAAAGTATGTTACTTACCTCGTGAGAGCTTCGAATTATAAAGCGGTCGTCGATCATACGGTTTACGACGAACTCGTCTTCACGTGATAAAAAGCATTCAGCGACGTTTCACCAGAGGGAGGTAGGGGGAGGGGTCGATTGTAGTATTCTTTGTGAATTTTGTCGCAGAATGCACAGATTGATCGAATAATTCAGCGGTATAACTACTAAAATAACGTCGAGTACGAAAGTGTTACTTTCACGAAGCGAGTGTTAAAATACCGACCGTGGATCCGTCGAAAGAAGAAAGTATAATCGCGTTTCAACTCGAAATATTTCTGGAATCGTCCCATCGAAAGTAATCTATGTTCGTTCGGGGTTATTAATAAATTTGACTTTGGCGAAATTATCAACCTCTCACATGTCTCATCTCCGAATTAATTTCCGAATCATAATCCGAATTAAGCAAGCGTTTTCGCCAGTTCGCGTGGTTTCAACGCAGGTGGACGTAGAGAGATTGGGGCAAAAGTCGTGTGACTTACCGCATATTTCACAACGGAACGGTGTGTCGTTCGTGTGGGAGCGCATGTGGTTAGCAAGATGCTCTTTGCGCGTATACTTCTTGCCGCAGGCTGTACAATGGTGAGGCGTTTCTCCTGTATGCCACATAACATGGTTCATAAAGTGTTCTTTGCGAGTAAAGCTCTTCTTGCAAATATCACATCGATGTGGAGTCTCACCAGTGTGTTTGCGAACGTGATTTACCATGTGTTCTTTTCGGGTAAATGTCTTCGAGCAGAATTGGCATCTGCAACATAATCGTGCCCGCGTGATTTCTCCCTATCATCACAGCCTCGCGTTCTCGAGATGATTTCTCGAGAAGGACAGACGAGAAGTTCGAATGAAGATTTAAAAAAAAAGGCAACGCGGCAATTTCTAACGATAAAACCAATTAACTTTAATTCGTTAATTTCGCAGCATGATAACGTTGAATGCAACATGATGCAATCTCTCACAATTACTGGTGAGTTTCTTCTCATCTTGCGCCTTATTATTGTTATTATTATTATTATCCATCGGCCTCGATTACACCACTTGGGCAAATTCCGCGCGAGCGGACTCACCGATATGGCGTCTCGCCGGTGTGGCACCTCGTGTGGTTGTCCAAATGCTCCTTGCGTGCGAAGCTCTTGCCGCAAACCGTGCAATTGTACGGCTTGTCGGTGGCGTGTCTTTTCATGTGACGCTCCAGCGAGGCCGCGTTCGCGAAGACATGAAAGCAAACCGTGCAAGTGAACATAGATCCACCCAGGTGGCACTTGCCGTGACGTGTTAGGTCGCTCGCGTTCGAGAACGCTTTGCCGCACACCTGAAAGAAATTCGTCCCTCGTTTACTGTGCATTTTCCAAACGAATCCTCACATACGACCAATGATCGGCGCGTTAAGGCGAGTGAAACGAACGAACAACGAAAGAACAGCAAATGTGTGATATGAATGGGTATAAACGCGCCTTCTTTGATGAACCACTCTATGAGCAAATCGACCCGAAATATTCCGTTCGGATTCGTCAGTCACAAAAAGAATGCAACCCGTTTTTCGACGAGTTTCGCAAAACATCTGATATATCTAATAGGAAAATGTATCTCTTGTGAGAATTGCTGAAAAAAAAAAAAATCTACAGGACACAGGATGTCCCGAAAAGGAAGTGATGCAACCTTTTCGTGACTATGTACACATACTTTCCAATTTGTAACAAAAATTTGCATTCGCTGCTCGTTCCTTGTTCATTCGCTCGGTGTATACCCAGTAGCTTTACGTACCTGACACGTGAACGGTTTTCTCTCCGTGTGGTATCTACGATGTACGATTAGTTGATAACGGAACTGGAAGATTTTCCCGCATATCTCGCAAGAGTGGCTGCCGACCGACACGGGCGAGGCGCTCGGGCCGGGCGTCGCTTCGCCGTCGCTCGACTTGATGTCGAATTTGTTCAGCTGGACTTGTTGCACGATCGGCGTGCCGTTCTGTATCGTGGTAACTGTTTGTGTAGGCACGGTGCTGCCTACCAGTGTCGTTCCAGCGGCAATTTCGCTCTGCAGTTTGCCGAAGACCTCGTGATACGCCAACAGCTGATTAATATCCTCGACGTTGACCTGCGGAGAGGCAGCGGGGCACATTAGGCAGGGTATGTGTTTGCACTTATCGCATTATACGATTGACGATCACAATAATAACCGCCAACTGCTGTGCGCGACATCTCGTACCTTGTACATATTTTGCACCATCTCGACGCCGAGCGTTTTCGCCAGGTCTTGCTCGTTCCCAGCGCTGATCTTCACGACCGAGCCGTCCGCCGTTCTCACATCCATCATATGTCCGCCTGGCTTCAAGTCAGGAACTTGGAATCTGAAGAAGAAACAGGTATGTCTTAATATCACGCGTCGAGCGCTCGTTGTGTCTTATTCGTAGGCAATTCACGGTTCAGTAGACGAATAACCGAGAGGAAGAGTATCGGCGTGCAGAGTTTCAATCTGATTGTCTCGTTGCCCGATACTCTTCCTTACTCGTTTATGGTGATAACGTTAAACTCGCGTGACTCGTAACAAGGAACCGTGCGAAGCGAAAAGACGATACGGTAAATTCCAATTGATCTCAGACCTTACGGATGTACATACTAGATAATTCAATAAATATCTCATACCTAAAGTAGAAAGAGAAATATTCTAGCGACGTAAATAAGGTCTTTGTACATTAGAACTCGCCATATAACTGAAATCTTCGGGTCTCGCGTTAACATTGCGAACGAGATTAAGCGCTTCACGACACCTACTGTGTCATGTTAAGTTGCCGCAATTCCTTCTCCTTCTCCGGCTTCTCAGAATTGTTCTGACTGCCGCCCTCCGTAGTCGAGTTGCCGCTAATGTTCACCCCGATCTGCTGCTGCTGCTGTTGCTGCTGTTGTTGCTGCTGCTGCTGCATCAAGCTCTGTTGAAGATCCTGCGGTGGTTGCAATTGCAGATCGCATTGAACTTGACAGTGAACCTGATTGTCGCTGCAGCGCTCGGTGGTGCAACTGCCGCCCTCGTCCTTGACCTTATTGTCGTCTCGCTGCGCGCTCTGACTGTGCACGGTCGGTCCATTGTTCTGGGCGTTCTGGTGATTCTGCATCTGATGGTGGGAAGACTGCTGCTGCTGTTGCTGCTGCGGTGGCGGCGGCGGCTGCTGCTGTTGCTGCTGCTGGTGCAGCTGCTGCTGTTGCGCCTGCATTTGCTGTTGCATTTGTGCATGCGCGGCCTGCAGGTGACTAACGCTCGCCGGGATATGGGCGCCGTCTAAGTTCAGGCCAGGTAGAGATACCGGTATCTGCCGAGGGAAAACACGAGAGTGCATGGGTCAGTTTTGCCATCGTCGTTTCCGCCGTCCGTTCCCGGCGACGTTCGATCGAGGAATCGGTGATAGCTTATAGGATAAAGATCGCAATCATCCGGCTTGTAACGTCTAAGAAAATGAAGTCTCTTGAGCATTCCTTTTTTTTATTCTTTTCTCTCTTTCTCTACTGTATGTATCGTGAGAATGTACGCGTAACGGAAGATCCAATCTGCATACGCAAAAGTACGAGATAATAGAGCGATAATTAAAGCAGCTCTCGGACACACAGTGGAGCCGGCAAAGTGTGTACGATAAAAATAAAGAAAAAAAAAAAAAGGAGTCGCAAAGTAAAATGCTCCGAAGTCACGACAAAAGCGAAAGTTGAAATTACAAACGACGAGATTCGAGCGGTCTCTCGTACGTTGGTAGGCCGCGCAGCTGTCGCTTCGTCTCGTACACGCGCGCACACACATACAATGTGTGTGCAATGTTCTGTATCGCACACAACGCGTTCTGCGCGCGACAGCGTGCGTGTCCCGACTACTCCGGCGGATCACAATAGCGATCGACGGTAACAACAGCAACAAGTCGCGTCTAACTTGGATACTTGTTTACGCAACACCGACAAAACGTGCCGCTACATTGACAAACCTGTGGATTCGAGGACAGGGAACTGTGATGGCTGCTGCTGCTAACCGAAGGTTGATGATGATGATGCGGTGCTGTCGACTGATGATGCGAGCTGGAAGTCAACGCCATTTCCTGGTTCAGTGAAGAGGCTGGCTCTTTGGAGGATGCCTCTCCACCTCCACCACTCCTATGCGAGGAGTTGTGGTGGGAATGGTGGTAGACCGAGACCTGAGGTAGCGGTCCGGGAAACAGATTGGTGAGGACCCAATACTTAGCTACCGAGGAGGCTAACGCTACGGCTGTACCTACACGCAGGTCCGCGGACGAATGAGGGGTACTCCCTACATTGCCAAGGCTGGTCGCGGTAGCCAAACCACCTGGGTATGAAGGACGACCACTTTGACCCGCGTTTACATCCTACCGATATACATTCAGACATTTGTACAACATTGATAGAGCATGCAGCGGCATGCACCAGGCCGAAATCCAATCGACAAATGCGCCACTTTCGGTACCGTATCTTCTCTCTAGGGCGTGTTACGTAGAAGGCCGCGGGTATTCAAGTATAAGAGAGAGAGAGAGAGAGAGAGAGAGAGAGAGAGAGAGAGAGAGAGAGAGAGNNAGAGAGAGAGAGAGAGAGAGAGAGAGAGAGAGAGAGAGAGAGAGAGAGAGAGCACATGCTACCGATATTTGGTGTTCCGTGTGTTATGTACAGTGTGAGCGGTATATCGAAAGAAAGGCTCTACGCAAAGTGTCGAATACCATACAAACTAATCGTACGAGAGTATGCTCTGCCATTAAGCTTGCCTAAGTGTGCGCCATCCGTTAGAGAAGTCAACGAGCACGAGTATTATGTAAAGGAAGCGAAGTGTTAGAGTTACAAGATTAGATATATATATATATATAAATATATATATATATATTCAAGCGTAAGCTGTCTCACGTGTGACACGCTGTAAGCATCTCTAAACTAAAAACTACAGATTGCATCACGATCACGGAAGGACTAATCGAATTATAATATAAAGGAAAGAGATAACGAGATAGTATAACTACGTTATATCACATAATAATCGTAATCATAAGTCAAGGGAGAGTATACGTATAATATATAGAACCAAATCAGACTGTCCATATAAATATTGCTGTTTGACCAAATGCCTATGAAACAAACAAACATTACCGAGGTGTCTCGCGTGTCAAGAAAACACACGCGTAAAAAAAAAACCCATAAATCTAAATCAGCATGAGGACAAAAGTGTCGTCACCGAGAAACTAAGGGTCGAATGATCCAGAATGTTAAGAAAGCCCATTATACAAATGTCTCAATATATCTAAAACATTGTCACAGCGCGCCTGTGGTGTGCGGTGGTCATTTGCGCATTTGTAGTTTGGGTTTGTAGCCTGTTTGCAACCGGAAGGCACCTTACCTCTTGTTGTGCCTGCGTAGTCGCTGGCAATGCATGCTGCTCACTATTCATCTTTGTTCACTGAAGGATATTAATTAAATGTTTCTCATATACTTCATTTCTCATCCTGCAAAAGACATTAAGATCCAGTTAACATCTGTCATCCTCCACCACGTCATACGGGGGGGTTTTCTTAACGCTACTTTGGACAGCTATAAAAGCGACGTCCCGCTCTAACGCTAGATGGCATAACCCCTCTCGACGTGCCATTGGCTTCGTTATCAGTGGCAGCTCGCCTCTCGAACAATTGATAATGATTTTAATTTATACGTGCTTTTATCTCGTGCATATGGTAGAGCGCGAGCAAGAACGCCAACGAGCGCGGGTAACCGAGATATCCGCGGCCACGCAAAAACAACTCCGCGAGGCTCGCGTCGAGCGCTCGAAGCGAGAACGAGATCGAGCGAGCGAGAGAGAGAGAGAGAGAGAGCAAGCGAGCTTCCTCGAGCCAGAGCGCGATGACCGACCGCGCGAAATTAGCGTGACCCGCTAATTAAATCACCGCGGTGTACGCGCGCGACACAGGCCGAGCCGCGACAACTTTTGTTCAACAATATCGATTCGCGGCATACCATGAAGGTGCGCACCATATTGCCATCGGGAGGCCCGCTCCATACGTGCCCGTCCCGACGCCCGTGGCACTGACGATGTCCACGTGAACATCTGAAAAAGCGCGGTCCCGCGAGTCCGCCCGACGTAACCTTACGCCGTCGCGGCGCACAATGACGATACGTTCGCGCGGCGGCTGTTGCGCCATTGAGGGCCAACTGACTGGCGCGACCGTTCGTTTAACCTCGACGAGTCGACCGAGTCACGGCGACGAAGCGCGCCCTGCGTGCGTAATCGCAATCGGGATATCCGCGTAAACACGCTCGCACGGCAGGCGAGCGAGCGAGCGATCGGAGAGAAACAGAGAAAGAAGGAAAGGCCGGCCAGTCGCCGAAAACAGATATTACTTTAACCTCTCTACTCTTTCTCTCCAGCGGGCATCTCGCTCGCTCGTCCGCCCGCGCGAAGGAAGACGAGAGTGAGTCATCCGGTACACGGCTACGATATGGAGAACGATACAACGCGACAAAGGCGCGACCGCAAGCGGGTCATGACGGTGAGAGCGAAAGAGCGAGCGAGAGAAAGAGAGAATGAAACGATCGGTCGCGTACCAGTAGCGCGGGCGAACAGCAGTGTTATCAGCGTCATCAGCAATAACCGCCAGATACCGTCGGCGGGAAGCCGTCGTCGGGTACCGTAATCCGACGTCGTGCGCGTATGACGCGTCATTGTGGCCGTTCGCTGACTAGCTGGCTGCTTGATCGGCTAACTGAGCTGATTAGCTAGCCTGCTGGCTGGTTAACTAGCTGGCAGGCAAGCAGGTAGGTGAGCCGACTGTCTGACTTCCGACCAGTTGGTTCGTTCGTTCGTTCGTTCGCTCGCTCGCTCTTTCGTTCGTGCGAGCAACGGGGACAAGGGGCCAACAAGATGGACGTGCCTTGCGGACTCGGGGCGAGGGGGATATGGACGCGCGGTGTGGCGCGGAGCGGCGCGTCGCGGCGCGACCGCCTGACTCCGCACCGTCAGGAACGTGATGGTAGTAGCGAACCGGGAATACGATTGAGACTCACGTGGTGCACGGTGCCGTCGGCGGTTCTCGCATCCTCGTTCTTCCTCGGCTCCGTGGCCGCCTCCTCCTCGCCTTTGCGCCACACACAGAGCGGGACGGGGAGACGCTCGTCCCGTCTCGCACGGCGCCCGCGAGGGGGAGGGGGGACCNGACCGGGGGCGTAGGGGGAGGGGGGCAGACGGCAGACCTGCCTCTCTCGCACCGTCGCGCTCACCGCCGCCTCTCTCGACGTCTCACCTCGCCACTGCCGCCCACAAGCAAATCGCCGATAATGGCCACGCCGCCTCGTCCAGCGTCTCCTCGAGTAGCGCGACGGCCGACCCGGCGCGACCGGGACGCGGTGCGCCGCTTTTTGGCCACGTACGACGCAAAGCCGCGCGACAAATTCACGGTAACGCCGCCGGCGAGGCGCGATACGTGCTCGCGGTTTCACAGAAAATACGACGACTGTCATGGCGTCCCTCGCCCACCCCGCAGGAACTTACGCGCGCGGGGGGCATCGCCGGGTCGGGCGCATCGGTGACCCGCTCGTCGGGTGACTTTCACCCGGCGAACGGCTCGGCGACGGCGCAAAATCACCTGTCGCACTCGTCTCCCGGCGAAATAACCACCGGATCGGGCGTATTTGGCCGCGAAACGCGATCGGCCGCCCGTTATCGTCACGCCGAGGCTGCGCGCGCAGCCGACGGCCGCGCGCGTGCTCGCGCGCTTCCGGTGGCGGGGAACCCGCGCGATTATGAAAGCCCCTTCGCCCTTTCCTCCTCGCTGCGCTTTTCCCGCACTTTCTTCACGGTTGTTTCGGGTGGACGTGTGCCGAGGGTCTTGACAGGAAATAAGGACCGAGTGTATAGATTATTAATTGATTGATATTATAAATATAGTTATATTTTGGGAAAGTTATAAATAAACGCTATTACAGGATAATAATCGCTTTTCTTAATAAAAAAAATAACTGCGCAAAGAATAATTTAAATGTTTATTGTATGATAAATTCCAAATAAATTCAAAACGAGAAAACTTGACAACATGCTCTTGATCGATCTCATTTATTTCAATTCACTCTTTGTAGATCTTAAATTTGAAATATCAAGTAATAAATATTTTTTAAAGTTACTACGCAACTCTTAAGCTTGACTTTTTCTCAAGTTTTCTGTAAAAAAAAATCTAATTTTAGACTTGTCGAAGAATCTGTGATTGTAGGACTATTTAATAACACAGAGATATACCTTACACACATGTAAATTAAATCTTGCTTCAACTTTATTATTTTCAGGTGAACATCAGTATATAGCATGGAATACTACACCGAATTGGGGACATCAGTCAATGACGTGACAAGATGGGCAAATTGTTCGTAAATATACAGAAGGTATCGGAATTGAAGAAAAGACTTCTCTCATTTACAGGTACATATATTATATTCGATATCTCCTTACATTTATTACTAAAATATTAACCAGTATTTACATCAATTTGTACAGGTGACCGCCTTGATCACACATATGCATAATGACACGTCCAATTCGAATGTGTGTGTGTGTGTGTGTGTGTGTGTGTGTGTACGCGCGTGTGTGTGTGTGTGTGTGTGCATTCCTATATAAATAAAATAACAAAATCCGCTTCTTTTTTTTTTGCACTTTTAAGTTCACGTTGCCACGGTATCGCGAGTGGAATGTGAGCTTTAAAAAAAAAAACGCGGTGAGTTGAGAATAATGAATATTGCAGCTCGCAACACACCGCGAGGTAACCACGATTCGATCCGACGACGATCGTAAATTTGTCCCGAAAGTAAAATAAAGTCGAACAACAAGTTACACGCGAGAGACGAATACGGAAGTCGCGAAGTGAACGACGCGCTTCGACATTTGGATGTGAACAAACGGAAACGTTGACTAGTACACTATAATACACATAAAGTAAATGTCATTAACGATGTACAACATAGGAGTTAAATAAAGACCAATATTTATACAAAGCCCTTACAATTATTTGGTATCATCGCGATATTTCCCTTTTGTTTCTATTGCGCGGTATAATCTCGAATACGTTCAAACCGAAGGTGTCATTCGTGAAACAACGCTTGGCAGGCTAGAGGTCTGTAGTGCTCTCTCTCTCTCTCTCTCTCTCTCTTTCGGGGCAGAGATGCGAATCCTTAAGATAACGTCACGAGATTCTCTATCATGTGAACACAGTATACAATCTGTGCCAGAAGTTCCGCGCGTAAAAATTGCTAAAAAGAAAAGAACACTCGATTTAAAAAGGAAAGAGAAATCACACTCGAGTTAAAAAGGAAAGAAAAATCGATAGAGAGAGAGAGCTCGAGTATAGATACAGCAGATCCGCCTGTGTGTGAGTATTTTTGTTCCCCTAGCGATTATCGGGAGAGATTATGGAGGAAGATTGCTGAGAAATGCAAGAGGTACGAGAGGCCGATTGTCTTAAACGGCGGGTACTTTGGGACACATGAGCATTCGTAATATATCTCTCTCTCTCTCGCTCGCTCTCTCGCTCTCGACGAGTCTTACATTTGGATATGTTCGTAATCAGTCGTTGTGCGCGGGAAAGTTCCGTTTAGAGTTCCGTGGTGATCTCGTCCTGCGGCCGGAAGCCGAGGATCGTGAAGTCGTCGATGAGGTAATCGCGCGCGGGCGACCAGTCCGACAGGATGGTGTAATTGGCCGCCTCCATGGTGCTCTGGAACTCCCATTGGGGATTCAGGTCGCGGTCTAGACCGTCGTTACACTCATCGTGCAAACCGCGACTCGGTGGGGCTGCTGCTGTTCCAGCCGGTTCCGGCAGCTGCGCTCCGCCGACGTTGTAGTTGTGATTGAACGCGGAGATCGCCAGCTCCTGGAGGCGCGAGCTGCCGGGGCTCTTCGGCGCCCGCTTCTGGTTCCCAGCGTATACCAAGGGCGTCGTCTGGCCGATTCTCTCGGAGCCGTTCGGGCTGAGCTTCTCGTGGTTGTACAGCACCGAGCTGTTCTGACCTAAACTCGAACTGACGGGACTGTCCTTCGCGTAGCCGAGGCTCGAGCTCGCCGGGCTGATGCTCGACTTGTCGCTCGCCTGGAACGTAGCGAGCGGCACGTTCGCTTGGAATGTCGTGAGATTAGTGGGGGTGGTCCTCGGCTCGTACGGCTGGGCTGTTTGCGACGTCGTCGTCACCGCCGGCTGCGACGGCGCGGGCGGCATCATCATTTGGACGGGACTCGCCGGTTGCTGCAGAAACGTCACGAGCTGAGCCACCTTGAAGCCGGAGGAACATAATGAGCGTCGACCTTTGGAGGTTTGGTGGGACAACGTTTTACACAGACACAAATCATTCAGCCGAATCATCGTCATTGTTGCGAGAGGCAAAGGGAGCTTTCCAACGCGGGAAACTACGGTCTAAGACTCCGTGCGTACGGACGATTTTCTTTTATTTCTGCTGAGCGAATTTCTTTTCTCTCCCTTTTTATCTTTTCTTCAAAGTTGACGCACGAATGCAAGGTGAGAGAACCGCTCGTATGCGCGGGGTCTCATGCGCTACATGGTCACTTGTATACAACTTTTTGGATTGTGTGACTCACCGAAGTGCTTTAAGGACTGGCGTGAAAAAGAATCGGAAAAGTATGAGATAAGAAGCGTCATCGTTTTTTTTTTCTTTTTTCGCTCACGACGCAGCAAGAATACGTCATACTCCGCGAGAAATGAGGAATCTTACTTCTGGGGAGCTGTGCCTCTTGTATCTTCTCAGCAGCCGCTCCGCCCATGAGAACAGTCGTTGCCAGTCGTCGGGGGGCAGTGGTATCTCGTCGTCTCGCCTGTTCACCAGGACCAGTATCCTCGCCAAGTCACGTAACACTGGTCTACAACCAGTAGTAGTAAGGTAAACACGAACAAGCGGACGCACGCGCCAACGTCATGCGTCACGCGTTGAGAATATTCGTGAACAAGCGCAATTTTCTCATAGTTTTAAGGGCTCGGAAAAACCGATGTTTTTTCGACATTTCCGCGCAAAAATGAGAAAAAACCTCCCGTTTTTCCATTTTCGTGAAATTTCCTTCTGCGGAAAAATTGCAAAACAAAAAGAAACGTTTCTTCAAAACTATAAATTTTTTTATCTAGACTAATAAGCCGATGGGCGAGCCCCGTTTGCTCGTTACTGCGTTCATATCGTACCTGTATGCCTGGATGCCGACGGCGCCGTCCCCGTTACTCCCCGAGTAGTACAATTCCCTGACTTGTCGCCTGGTGTCGTTGAGCATCGCGAGGAAAGTGTTGGCCTCTCCCCTGAGCGTCGCCAAATGCTTGAGAAATTCTCGCCTCTCCGCGCTGAAAGCGTACAACAACAAGCGCGCTCTTAATGAATTCTCACGGAGGACGCCGGGACGTCAGACGGACACTGCCGGCGCACAATATCGAAGAACGAACCTGTCCTCGTATTGCTGCACTAGCTTCGCCGCCCTCTTCTTCCTTCGATGCACGACTATCGCACCGCACACGATGATGAAGAAGCAGATGGTAGCGCCGGAGATCACCCCCACAAGGATCGCGACCTGGCTACCGGTGAGGCCGAACATGTAGCCGGTCTCGCGGCAGATACGACCCATGTACTCGTCCCGGGTCGACCAGTCGGCGACGAAGCCCGGTGGGCAGGTGTGCACGCAGGTACCCTGATGCAGCAGCACCGCGCATCTCGCGCACGTCCCGTCCCTGCATCTCCTGCACCCGGCCTCGGACTCGACGCATTCCACTGCAAAGGTGAAAAAAACGTAGCACGCTTTATACCTTGGATCACCCTCGAAGAAATTCTTCGAGTAGAATTCCACTCGGGGAAAAGCGGAACAGAGATAGCCGGGGCAGATAACAGGTAGGCAATGACGAATGACAACGCGGTGAACGTTCGCACCGTGGATCCCGACGGGCGCGTCGCGACGACTAGATACCGATATTCTCGTTATGTGTGTCAAACATTTGGGGCCACCGCTCGAGGCTGTGGATCAGGCCGACGAGTTTCGCGAATCGCCGCTTCGTTCGCCCCGATACTGAGAGAAATTATAGGTATTTTCGGCCCCGTCCACCTCTTACCCTTTTCATGGTTTTAATCGCAAAAATAGTAATAACATAAAAGAAGAAAATAAGAGAGAAGACGCAACGTTACTCGAGTACCAGCTTGCTAATTACTCGTGTCTGTGTAATTTTCCAGGTGCAATTAAATAACACGCAGAGCGTAAATTACAGAAAACGTCGCGAGTTCTCTTTCCAAGAAATTATCGTCAGGACGGCGAACGAGAATTTTTTTCCGTTTGAGCGCGCTTCAGGCTTCACCGGGATTATAATAAATTCCCTTGAATACAACAGTATCTGGAAGAGCATGGCAAACTTTTCATTGACTCTGGACTACTTTGAAGCAAAATGGCGGAACCAATCGATGTTGTTACAGTCTCATTTCGAGTACCACTATGCGCGGGAACCAATCAACTAACCAGTCATATTCTCTGCGAAGTTATAAAATTTGAAATATTTCCAGAGAACATTAAGACGTCGCAAAGACGTCTTTGAGGCATACATATTTATGTAAGTTAACAGAAGAGAGTTAAGGATTAATAAGAAGGTTACAAGGTCATTTTTACACTTCACAGTGTGTATCCGTTCTTTCTTATTTACTTTTATTTCAACGAATTCGAACCACAAACAAATATTCTTATCCGTTTACAGAAGATAAGCGTAAAAAAGAAATTTCTAGTGGGGAAATCTCTGCTGCGAGCAAATTAATATCGTCTAATGAGAAAACCTGCCGGCAAATTAACACAACATGGACATTCATCACAATCACCACGTACGTTGTTCAATCACCATGTACGGTTAACCTTATAATAAAATCCCTAGAAATAAATTAATACTATCAGCGCCATTTTGCTGGAGGAGCAAAGATTGTCCAGACTCTGTACTCGATGGACTCTCTTTACACCGGGATCCTTCCTCTCTCGTGCGATATATTTATATCCCCCGACATGCGTCCTCTTCCTTCCCGTTCGGTGGCCAGATACATTACGGAGGTCACGAGAGGGAAGGGGGACCGGCACTAGAGAAAATTGGAAGACCCCGTGCGTGTGCGTGCACTAGGGAGAGACTCTCTCTCTTTCTCTGTCTCTCAGCCCGCTGAGGGTTCATTAGTACGTGTATGAGGAATGCGGTTGCTGGTTTCTCGATTATGTGGGTCTATAAACGCCGCGCGGCCGGCAGGCACGGGGGCCCCGACGGAATATCGACGGTCACACACATTCTCCAGGTTGAGAACACTAGGTCGGGCCCGTTTCCCCGGTCCGTCGGCCTGCGGACCGTGTGTTCCGTGAACCCCGGGGTCGCCTGTTTACTTTGCCGCCGAGATCCTTCGCCGGCCGAGAGTCTCCTCGGTTATTCCTGCCGTGAAAATTCCCGCAGATATCGGGAGACGCGTGAATTCTCTCCTCGTGAGCGCTTTAACTTTCTACGGCTTCTTCCTCTCTTCTTTTATCCCTCTCCAATCATGATTAGCGACTAGCTCGCGCGCGCGCACGCTCTTTGGAAAATGCGTCTTCGACTCGTTCTCGTCGTACGAATGGCGTGTACGTTCTCTCTCTCTCTTTCTCCGTAGAAAGCGCCGTGTCGCGAGTGTTACAAAAAACACATCACGGTTTATTTGATCGGATTATTGTTGTTGGTGCGATTATCATCACGCTTTCGATTATCATCGCGCGCCGTCCGTCGTCGAGAAAGCGCCCGCCGATAATTGAGTGTTATTCAACGCACACGCACACGCACACACACACACACTCTGGGAGAGTGACGCAATTTTGCAAGTTGGCAATTCGATCGTCGGAAGATAATCTCTGAGAGGTGAGGGGAAAGTGTATATATGCACGGTTATTAAGCGAGCGGGTAAACGCGGAAAGCTTCGGGATTAATGTGAAATCGCCGCTCATCGACGATAAGAGTGCAATGCACGCAATTAAGCGGCCGAATTAACGGTCTCCGGCTATTACGATTTCAGAGCCGACGTTCGCCGTTATTATCTCCTCGTGCAACTCTCCGCCGACTCGCCGCCGTGGATAATCGAGTTTTCGTAATTCCGATCTGCGCATCAGGGAGCGATTAGTGAATTCGCCGAGTTGACTTTTAATTAGATAATTAAAGGTCGAGGAGAAGCTCGTCATCGGGTCGCGCGTGACCCGATTTCCCGTTCTTTTCCGTCTCTCTCTCTTTCTTCCTACGTATTCATTTTCGCCGCGTTTGTGTGAATATTTAATTTTTCTCCCATCTTTTTACGTTCAACTGTGCGGAGAAAAAGACTGGGCAGCGTCCGATTCGTTTGCAAGGAAACTCTCCGAGAGCGTCACAGCAGGGCGAGCGTTTACGTACGCTCGTTTTCGTTATTAATTAGTGCGATTAAGTAGACCGTTCGTCGCGTCTACTTACCGAACAAGCCGGCGCTTCCGGAGCAATCCCGCTGCGAAATACACGTATTCGCATGCTATGTGCCTCTGCTCTTCGCGTACATATTTACAAGTATAATGTAACTTACTTTCTATCTAGCGCTTCTCCCGAGAGGTGCTCTCAACACGCACGCACACGCGCACACAATCAGTTTCTACAAGTTTCAATAAAATGTTGATGCTTTCCGCGGATTAGCTCGATTCCCGTGTTTATCACACAGTGAAAAATGTTGAAAATGAAAAATCCAACGCTGTTTATTGCGTTAAAACTAGTCTGTTGAAATTTTATATTACTTCAAGGTGAATACGTTGAAAAATAATATGTCGACAAGGTGAATATGTTAATTTAGCGTTATATCTGTGTACTTTTTAACACACTCCCTGTATTAAAGTAACATAAAAGTTGCGTTAAATTGAATAAGCGCGAAAATTTGAGCGGACCGTTTGTGCGGACAAATGCGAAATGCGTTCAATTAAACGCAAAACTTTTCACCGTGGAGAGTCGCCGTCACAAAGCCGCTCGTCACCGCCGTCCGACCGAATAAGTCGAAGTAGGTTCCCGTCAACTTCATTTTTCGCGGTGTTTTTGTATGATACTAACCCACATTCGCGCCAGACCGAGAGACGAACTCGCGGACGCGAGCGAACGAGCGGCGAGTTTAACGGTGCTCGTAAAAGTCGCCTCCTGAATTATGAAGTTACACAAGTTCACGCGTTGCGACGGTCCCGCGCGAACGAGCGACCGAGGCATGAATCTTCTCCTTTCGGGCACACGAGGCTCGTGTGTCAATCGCCCGTATGCACTCGCTGCTGCACGACGGACGAGTACAGTTACTTACGATGCACATGCGACGTGCAGCTGCGACGACGCATCGTCATCGCCGATTTCTCTCTCTCTCTCTCTCTCTCTATCTATCTCTCTATCTATTTATCTATCTCTGTCTATTTATCTATCTACCTATCTCTCTCCCTCTCGGTTAGCCCGTTCGCCTGCCTGCTTCTTCCTCACCTACGTCCGCAAAATCTCGAAACCTGAATCTTTCCACGCCAGATACGGCGCTTCCGACGCGTCGTGCCACTCGCTCGCGATCATTAGCGGAAGCGCGTGTTAATTAAAGTACACATTAAAGTGCTCCTGCAGCTCGTCGTCGCTCGCTACCTCGTCGAAATGCTAGAGCGTTCCCGTTACTCCGAATTTTCATAATCAGTCGGGGCGAACAACAGACGGACACAATGAAGAGCTTGAGGGGATTATGTTTTTAAACACACACACGTCGTGTATTTTTCTACAATTCGTTTAATACAGAGAGCGACAGAGAGAATTTCCGTTGAATGATCGCGGCCTGTACCGGCAGACATCAAATATCGAAAATACACCGTCGCAAAACTCGGATTTATTCGTACCGAGACCGAAATATGTAAAATAAAAAACAGGCTATATAGATAAACAATTGAACAATGTATATGACAAGTAAGGCAAATAAGAGCACTGTTGTAATGGCTAATAATTTATTTGAACGGTAATTCAATATAATTTATTAAATATCATCAGTTTTAATATCATTTTATTTTTGCTAATATTGGATTTCTGAACACATGTCTGCTTGGCAACAGACACATATTTGTCCGAATATTTCTTATTTATATACTTCTACTTTAATCCCTGCATTGGTTGCTACTTAAGGTCTATGCACTATTGTGCACTTTAGTTTTTTTATTATTATATTTTGATTGTATGCGTCAAAGGGTGTCCAAATATGATAAAAACCGAAACGTTCGTGGGAAAATTATATTGAATTACTGTTAAAATAAATTACTCGCATTTCAACAGCGCTTTGGCTCTCTTATTTACCTTATTTATCGTATGTTTGATCATAAAATTTATCGCAAGTTTGATCATAAAAGAACAGATGATGGCAATTTACGTGTTATAACGATCAATTAGCACCCAGTTTGTCCGAACATTTTTCTGATCCGTTGATATAAAGTTTCTATATGCAATAAGAAGGGTAATTTACATACTTTCTTCAGATGTTTCGAGAACGATACGAGTGTATCTTATCGTTAGACAAGTTGGCACGATACTTTTCACAGTTTACGAATGCCAACACCTTCCAAGAGAAATTCTCCCCGCGCATATTTTTGAAAAATGCATGCCACTCGCAGATGGGAAACTGCGTATACCGCCGAAGTTTTCCGAAGCGGGAGAAGAAATTACACGCGATTGAGAATATACCCAGACACCGGATAAATAGCCAATCTGCATACTGCACTTTCT